CCCCCCCCCTACATGATACGATCGTTCTCCCCAATATGGCCGATCAACAATACCGTACACATTTAGTTTTTTTACACCTTTTCGCTTGTGGAGGCCTTGACACCTCGCATACTCTCCTACCTACCCTTTTAACCTTTTAACAACGGAATCGTTCCTCCCCGTGACAGCTTCAAACCTCCTTTCTTCGGTGTCCCTGGCCGAAGCCCTTGAGGGCGTACCGAGCGAAAATGTCTCTGCAGCCAATCAAGAAACTCTACATTTCATCTTCGACGATGCGTAATCACAACAATAGACTACAGTAACATGAAATCACTCCAGGGGGCACACAGGCCTGACTTCAGCAAGCATCATGGCAAAAAGAATCACCGATACCGCAAACCGCAGGGTCAAATCTGTCACGCCGACCGAAACCTACAAACATCAACGCATGAGAATAATCAGTCAAGAGCCACAAATACGTGCTTCAGTGGCGAATGTGATAGATCGGCTCTACAAGAGAGCTGCTGGGCACTGCTGGTGCATAAGGTAAATTGTGTGTCTTTCTGATATTTCTAGTAAACCTCAGCCATTGGTTGGCGACAGGAGAACTCTAACATCAAAAACCCTAAAAATAATGATGTCCTTGTGAACGCCTATGTGCAAGTTGCCGGGCATTGCACCCGCTCGTCTCCAACAAATCAAAAACCTTCGAGAGGGACCGGTGGCGATGATGACGAAGGCTTGCACCTAGCGGAGAATCCCCAATGAAACGGTTCTGCCTCATCCAACATGGATTCGCAGGTAGGAAAGGATGCAAAATACATTTGCGCTCGTCCAGTGCATCCTGCCAAGACCGTGTCACCTCGAAGGAACGGTGCCTGATTCCGGCCCACCCCATCGCAACCTTATCTATTCTAAGTAGGGAGGATATCCATCCATTGTACAGTGGAGCAACGTTTGTGGTAGCCCTTTCATACCCTACCCCGCCTATCCGTGAGAACTCGTTGGTGGTGAGGCTGGTACATCTCCGAGCAGCTGAACGGTGTTCGAAAGTGCCTACCGAAAATATTATACATGTAGCTCATCCTGCAGAGCCTGCAATCGCTGGACGACTTGTCTAGCAAACGGCCTTTCCTCGGGGTCTTCGTGCCACATGTCTTGAATAATCTGCTTGAACGGTAGGCAACGCAGGCAAAAACCCAAATTATTGACATTTCGAAGCCAAGTGATGACTCGCTCAGAAGTTTGTGCTACAGAAGAAGCTATGTTTTCTGAAGACTTGTGTTGAGGCTGGGCACGGGGATCGGTCTACGAATGGCAGAGTTGCACGTGTCTGGTCAACCCCACCAACTTTCTCAAACGCCGTCAGGTGAAGCCGTATACTGTCGCATCGATGACAAAATCCTCCGTATTGACACCGGGCCGTGGCTGAAACGAGTGTCTGGGTGCACCCACTCTGTCGACGCTAGGTGTTGCACAGAACGTCGAATGCAGAACAGTGCTACAGAGCGCAGCGCAGACCCAAGGAGCGAGGCTTCTTACTACCCCGCTTTAGGAGCCAAAACTATTTTTGAGTAAATGTCCCACCCACCTATTTGATTTTGAAGGTGGGGGAACGAAGGGAATCAGCTTCAGGTAGCCGGTAGCTTGGAATGCTTTGGCGAAGGGAATCATACGGTACTATTTGGGGACTTGGTCATCTGGGACCTCGATGCAGTAAGATGAACTCCGTTCAAGGGAGGAAGGAGAACGATTGGTTGACCGCTTGGAGGATAGAGGAAGGCAGAGAGAGGCAGACACTCGATGAAAAAGGCGCAGAAAGGCCCCTGCAAGCGAAAGGCGCCCCACAAAGTTTGCATCTCTCTCTCCTTGGGTACAGAAACGTGAAGACGAAGGCAAATATAAGAAAAACAGTAACGAACATTGACGGTTTGCATACTTTGTGCGATACTTTTGGTGCGGAATGGGTGAACTCACCTCGACGAAGCCCTTGTGCCACGACGGATCTATTTCTGGCCTGTCATGAGCCGCACGCGCTTCGTCGAAAGTTTCCACATCGGGGAAGGGCAATCCACCAGATATTAGTGAATAGTAGATCATTCCCATGGCGTAGATGTCAACCTTTTCTGTCACGGGCTGGCGTACGAGTTGGGCGGCGGATGGACAAAGAAGGCAAAAATCGACAAAAGTAAACAAGGGACGGTCTACATATTCACGTCTTGGTACTTTGCGGAATATGTCTCAGGTGGCGTGAGATATCACACCCCGGTCACGACATTTTTGAGCGTGCGGCAACACTATCGTACGTGATGTGGTATTCTGTAGGGGGTGTGGAAATGTTTCCGCCCCACATCTTCGTCGAATTGTATTTGGACGACAATAATAAATGTGAACTGTAACAACTGTAGCGTGAAATTGTTGCTTAAAGCGTGCTGCGAGGATATTCTCTGTGGGTGTGCTATCTCATACCACTTCCAATACGACTTACTCGAGCGAAAGTCGAGACCGTGCTCCCAAGCGGATTGCCGCCTATTACTGCGAGGACCCAGGAAATCTGGACCCCAAGCCATGTTCATTTTACACAAAGGGTTGCGAATACTTCGCTCGAGACCGCGCGGGCAAAAGTGCATGCGTGACGCGATTGCTGCCAGTTCACAGAGCCAAAAAGCAAGCTTCGGCCACACCTCCTGTATGGAATGAAAATCCGTTCAGAGAGGGACCAACCCTCGAAACCTCTTGAACTACGAGGTTCAAGCAGAAAAATCGATTTCAAAAACGCTGCCAGCCTGTTGCATGAGAAAAAGCAGCATCGGGTGCGAAAAGTCGGGACGTTTTTGCGTGCATTTTTCAAGCTCCTTAGGCCTGAGCTCGAGCAACTGCATCGAGGTGGAGAGAATCACGCGTACTAGTGTTTTGTCTCGGGATGCATTGCATGTTACCGGCTCCACCCCTTGTCTTTGAAGAAACGAGGCCTTCTGGTACTGTGCCACCACACCGAGTGGCACTGCTTTAGCAAGAGGGAGAAGAACAGGCAATACTTACTATTGAACACCTGCCACATCACTATTCACAAAATGCAGCCTGAAAAACAAGTGAGACAACCAGCATCCGACTCCCGCACATGTCGTTCCCACCATCCGGCAATGTGTACCGCGTGACTTCATGAGTTGCAGATATTCATATAGTAAGATACGCATGGTAGGACTCGATACACGCGTTACTGGACGAAACCGAGGAGTTATCGAGTTACTGCTCTTAGTAAGGTAGGTAACAAAGCTGGGCTGCCTACTGCGTCTCTCTGCGCCGCACCTTTCCCGCTATATTTTCCGGTGCCTTCCACGGAACTAGCCGAGCGGGCCTGCCTGTGAGTATCGGACAATGTTTTCCATCTCCGGAATGGTCTGCGCTCATGAGCTGGACACTGTTGAAGTCGTTAACTTTCCCGCGTCCAGCGTTGTCAATGAGCAGCTGTTGCGGTTTCATGTCCAAATGGATGGCGCCGGCGATCTCATGCAATGCCTGCAGTCAACACCCAAGGGGGACAGGGACAACGTTTACCGTAGGCTGAGTAATGTAGCACCCGTTTCAGCATGTTTACTGGAGCATACACGTTTCACCATATCCTGAAAAATCGAGGAGGGTGTAGTGCTGTCGTGGACGCTGGCATCCAAGCAACATCGTTGCAGAGCATAACCGGGTACGCCTTGCGCCAGGCGCGATACACCGTGAATCGCTTGTTGATGTTGAGCTCCACCAAATAGCAAGCTCATTTGATTACTTCCGGTGCAGCCAATCAATTCCACTTTCCCGGGTACACCACGGAGCATTGGCTCTTAGTTTCTGATAGAATACACGAAACACGCGAGAAGGGCGTCCTACCTTCGCGTGCTCTCCGCCGCGGTGAGAGTGATTTTAGTAGTCAGTCACGGCTCAAAAAGTAGTGCCTTATCAATTATTTTTTGACGTGCCCAAAACTTTTCCTGTATCCCTTCTCTCCATATCTTGCCTGCATCCCTTGGGCGACGTCGAGTGCCAAGGAAACCACGCGGCGTAGAGAAAGTTCCTCTGTCTTCCTGAAAATGGCGTGCAGAAAATTGTACGGGTGGTACTCTGTCACCACCGTCGTATTGCAGAAGCCGACCATGCCCACAACATTAGGGTGCCCCCGCAACTGCCGGAGTTTGAACGAGACGGGCGGCCGAGAACGGACAGCGTGATCAGCGCATCTATGTTGCACAGTTTATATGCATTCTTATCGAAAAGGTTTTCTAGAGATACACGGGGGCAGCAGAAAAACCCTGAATTCCAAAGCAACCAAAACTTCAAGGAAGGGAAGGGAAGGTATGAAGAAAAAGCCTTCGCATGTCGACAACAGCTTCGACAAAACAATTATAACATGGGTACACAATGATTTCTGTAAATGGTTCATAAATTGGTGTGAGGTATGCAAGAGGTAATCGGTAATGCGAGAAAACCTGCCATAGAGTCGGACCTCTTGCCATTCGATTGGAGTGGGCGAAAACAAGTATTGGGTGGTCTGGATCGAAATCAGGACAAACTAGGTGAGAACTCCTTGTCGTATCTGAGGAGCAAGGCAAAAAGATTGGGAAACAATGGTGGCAACGTAAAACCTCAGGAGGAAACCAATACGAATGATGTTCTCACCGCTTCGAGCGTCAAAGACTCTACCCTATGCATTTCGAGGTGCGCTTTCAGCCTTCGTAGCTCCTCCACATGCTGGAGGGTCTTGACGACCACAGCCTCTCCCTCGTATTCAACCATGTGCACGGTACGCACTCTGCCCGTACCGATGAGAGTCATTTCGCCGCTCAACATTCTCTGCACAGGCCACATTACAAGACACACGGGAAAGATGACAACGTAAACGAAGGTTTGGTTCAAAATCAGCTGTAGCGATGGCTGTCTGGACCCAGGCATTGCGCTGTCTAAACATGCCCAAAACAACCAGTGTCACGGTTTTCCTCTTGCCCAAAACAACCAGGTGTCACGGTTTTCCTCTTGCCCCAACATCAATCCGCAACTACAACGTCCATACGCGAGATTAATGACTAACAGGATGTAGAACTTAACTTTCTTTTTTTTCTTCGCGCTGCGTATTGTACGTCGTGTTCATGAGCCGGAGACAAGGAGACCAAACCTGGCAGCAGCACCATTTTCCGCCCCACTCTCCGCGAATATTGACTTTCTTCATATCTCAACGAGTGAAGTTATTGGGTAGGCTTGTGATCGAGGTCATATTTTTTTGTTGTTGTTGTTGTTGTTGTTGTTGTTGTTATTGTTGTCTTCACATTAAGAAAACATTCCGATCTCTCTCTACCCAGCACCTTCGTATGTCCGTACTTATCCAACACACGACGCGGTCGATTCCCGTGGTCACAGGTTAACTTACCCTAAAGGCACACTCAAAAAAACTGGCCCCGAGGGGTCCGCAAGTCAATAGAAATCAACGACAGATATTCTGGAGTCCTCCACTCCCTCTGCGCGCGATGCGAGGTAACAACCGGGACTAGGAGTCACCATCACGGGTCGGAGAGAAAGAGGTACACCCCCTTGGTTCAATCTTGGTACTTTTCAACGGAAGCAGAGACAAGGCCATCTGGCATAGAAAAGGAGAGAAAAAAAAGGAGAGATTGAAAAAGAGAGAAAAAGCGAAAAAACAAAGGAAACCAAGGAAAGAGAAAATAAAACGAAAAAGAGCGAGGACAACAAGGGACCAGGCCGAAAAAAACAAGAAATAAGAGACAGAAAAAGGCACACGGTGGAGAGACCACTAACGAACAAGCAAGCACACAAACATGGCCACCAACCAGCGATAAATTGCAATGGTTCGTCATCACTAGTGGGGGGTTGGGGCAATGGTGCAGCGTTGGGGGGGGGGATTGGTTAATAGAATTTCAATCCGGCACGTATTACGCCACTCGGTCCGTCTCTTCTCGTTAGCGTGTCCCTCGCCGTCTCGTCCGTCTCCTGCCCCGCTCCCGCCCCATTGGTTGTTGGCTTGTGTTCTTGTTTCAGCGCTCGTTGTCGGCTGGCCTCTTCTTCCTTCTCGTGCCAGGAGGTGATGAACATCTCAGCTCCCTGCAGCACCGCCGCATGCCAGGGTACTCCCCCCTCCACCTTCGCGGCTTTAGTCCACTTTAACTTCGGTGCCGTGTCTTTTGGTACCGGGATTTCGAGACAGCATAGACCGGTTTTCGTAGATCCGTGGTCGGCCCCGAATGCCTTCAGGTCGTCGAGCACACACATCGGCCAGTTCTGTTCCTGTCCCCCCCTACGTGGCTTCTCCCTCCCCCGCTAGTTCGCCGACCATCAGTCGTTTCGGGAGTCGCCCGTCCGGCTGCCTTGCAAATGCTCCCGCGATCAGTAGGCATGGTTGTCGGATCGTGGCTTCAACGCTCTGGCATCCGACCCTCTTCAGCGTCTGGGCGTAAGAAAGCTGCCGGAAGGTGTCTTTCTTGCGCTTGTACCCGATAACTCGAAGGAGCAGTCGGCGGTGCATCGACCGCAGCGTCTGATAGTGGCCGATAAGTAGTGACCATGTCATGCAGCGTACATGCAGCGTACAGCAGTGTCTCCATCGCCTCCGCCTGGAGCAAGCGGATCTTGAGTCGGAATGGCGCTTTCGGACATGACCGGATCCTGACCCAGTGATCAGGTCATGACTGAATCATGCCTGAGGCATGTTCCCATCATGACTGGATCATGATCAGATCATGATTGCGGTCATGACCCCGTTCAATGACCCGATCATGATCAGATCATGACCGCGTCATACCGGATCATGACCTAGTTTGTTTTCTCTCACTTTCGCAGGAGTTGTCGCCCAGACTACTGGATCATGACCCGGTCATGACCTAGCCATAAAAGTCTCATTTTTTACGAGCCGTGATCGTGTCATGACCGAGACACGATAAGTGCAACATGACCAGGCATGATCATGGCATCACCACATCTTGAACCAACCATGAGCCGATGGTGTGTCTAGGTTTGTTGCATCACCGTCAACCTAGCACTGATGTCGGCACACCTACGTAGAAGTTGTCCCATCAACGCCAACCTAGCGCCAATGCCGGCACCAAACTAGAAGTTATCCACCCAACTCCAACCTGGCACGTATCGTGTGGGTTTGGGGGCTACGGTGAGGATTTTTGGGCGGGTTCATGCCCCTGCCAAAGCAGAAAATCTAATGTTGAGGACCACCAGAAATGCATTCGCTATGACCAAGTTATGACCGAGTCATACCGAGTATTGACCTGGTCATGGACGAGTCATGACTCGGTCACGACCTGGTCATGATCGAAGCAAAACCGAGGCATGACGTCGGTCATGATCATGATCATGGTCGAGGCCACGGTGGTGACTGGGTCATGAACGTCATGACGAATCATGATGGGGTCATGACCCGTGAGCGGGCCATGAATGGGTCATGATCGGAAACCAAAAACGTCAAAGCCCCCTCGTAAATTCGCGTTTTTCGATCACGTGATTTCCTTCCATCACGTCGTTCGTTCTTCTGACCCGGCGCTGAATACAGTGGTCTGTCCCTCCTACATACGAGTTGTACCTGGTTTCTTACCTGTTCCTTCGGGCTCTGAATAACAACAACCCCTTACGGCATTTGGAGGCTTCCTCAACAACTACGTTTCCAAACTTTGCAAGCCGTGTTCTTGAGCAGAAGGAAGGAGAAGCTGGACCCTTCCTCGCAACAAAGTAGGCAGTGATAAAAGTATGGGTAGATGCTGTCCTGCCAAGATTGAACGAAAGAGTCGGCAGACATAACACGGCACAACCACCATAGTTTCTGCGTCTCATGTGAACGAACCCCGTAGGTAACCCCAGATCTGTCGACAACCCGACCCTTGTCCTTCCCCTCCTCTCGCGTGACAGAGAGAGAACGAGAGAGTCTGCGACAACTTCGCGATGGAAAAACCAAAAAGGGTCAACGAATCAAACACTGTCCCAAACCGCTAAGACGCTTCACTCCGAATAAGAGGTAGGCATCAAGCCGGACGCGCTCACCTCGATATCTTGGCAACCGAACTTATAGTTCACTGGGTTCGGCTGCTTTTCCCACAACGGGTTCCTATCGCACGGCTCTCCTGCCTCGCTGACGTGGAGATGGTAGAGCTTCCTTCTGCCCTGGGCGAGGGTGGTGGCTGCGTTAAGTCTAATCCGAGCCGTCGTTGCCGTTCCTTCTAGGATTCGTCGAAGTTCCGAGTTTTTCTTCGATGCAGGGTCATCGAAGGAAGAGACACTATCCGTTGTTTCTTCTCCAGCGGACATCGTGGCGGCCACGAGAAGCAGGTTGATCATGGCGTTGGCGACCGGACGCAAAGAAAACCGTCGTCGAATCCGGCGGCCGTTGAGGTTGGCCGTCTTGGGCCGCCTTCTCCGGAGGACTGCAGGTGCTGATGACGGACGAATCATGATGTGCTCCCAAAGGGGTAGACGGGTGGGTCCGGCAGCATCTATCCGCCGAAACTGAGAATGCTATCGGTCGGCGTGGGGAGTAGCAGAAAAAGCATTAGGCAACAGCGAGGAGGGTTGAAATGTTGTTGATTCAGTTTTGCCAGGAAACGGGCAGCAAGGGGAGGAAGTTGGTGTCGGGTAAGCGTATCCATAGATCGAACAACGGGTGGAATAGTTTTCTGTTGAAAACGTACCTGCAGTAGGCTCGTGCGTTGCTACCACTGGCCCGTTTACTACACAGCAGTATTACAATACTTCCTCTGTATCATAAGTTAGGGTACCTAAATTTGTACGGGCCCTTAACCGTGTCCGATCTGTTTTTCGATTTTTTTGTTGAAATCTTCGTAGTTTTTTTAGCAAGAAACATTTATTTTTATTTTTATGCATGCGCCACCCCGCGTGCATGAGCGCCCGAGAAAAAACCAGTCGGCCTGAAAAAGGCCGAATTTTGCACGGGAATGTTTAGTATAGTATAGTATGTTTAGTAGAGTATGGAGAACCTGTACTAACGGCTGAGTAGAGTAGAGTATGAGAGAGGTGAATACTCTACTCACCTGAGTAGAGTACAGAGGTCAGGTACTGAACTCAAAGAGTATGTTTAGTAGAGTATGAAAAGCCGTACTAAACCGCAAGAGTACGTTGAGTAGAGTATGAAGAGCCATACTAAAATGTGAGTATGAGTAGAGTATGAAAAGCCGTACTATACTCAAAAAAATGTTTAGTAGAGTATTGAAGAGCCGTACCTACAAAAAAATTAGTATAGTACGAAGAGCTGTTCTAAACGCCACAGTATTCTTAGTAGAGTACGAAAAGCTGTACTAAACGCTACAGTACGTTTAGTACAGTATGAAGAGCTGTACTAAACGCCACAGTACGTTGAGTACAGTATGGAGAGCCATACTGAACGCCACATTGAGTACAGTATGGAGAGCCATACTAAACG